TAGAAAGTCCACCAAGCTGACGCAAATCCCATAGCGAGATAGACATTTCGCCTATAAAAGTGTGAAGGGTATTAATGGATGGACACCAAAGATCACAAAAGGCCCGCATAACACTATGTAGTTGGTTATACGAGAACAATGAAGCATAAATTGCATCATAAATACCCGCATGATGTAGTACCTCACAATGCTGCCCTAACACATCCTCCAACCACTCCCAATATCCTTCACAAAAAGAAGGCTCTGCTATGGCCTTGAAAATAGGGCCTCATGCCACATTCTGATCCCAAACCACACTCCCAAGGATAGGAAATGAGCAAAGATCCTCAACTTCTTCATGGTTAGATGATTTTAATAATAAAACCCTAGAGTGTGACAGGCCTTCAACCAATTGACATGAAGTCTCACGAGCCTATTGCGCCAAATGAAAATAACCATCAAGTGGCCCAACCTTCAAGCCCCAAGCATCAAGGAAAGAAGGGAAAATTGGAAGAGTACTTCCCTCCTCAATAGCATCACTAGAGTCCTTGAGAATGGTCAAGTATCCTTTCTTGAAAGTCTTGAAGTACACCATCACTAATTAACAAGGCCAAACAAATATTTTTTTAAAAAAAAAAAAAAATTCATGTGTTGTGGAGAGACATATATATGATCATGGCACGAGTCAAAATAATCACCTATGGCCGAATGGGTGGTGGTAGAAGTGTCTACTTCGCTAGCCCAACATCAAGGCGACTAGCTCGATAGGCGCATTCCTCTACATAAGTCAAACTAATCACCTATGACCGAATGGATGGTGGTGGAAGTGTCTACTTCGCTAGCTGAACATCAAGGTGACTAGTTCAATATGTGCATTCCTCCACATATGTCCAACTAATCACCTATGGTCGAATAGGTGGTGCGAGAAGTGTCTACTTCGCTAGCCCAACATTAAGGCGACTAGCTCGATAGGCGCATTTTCCTACATAAGTCAAACTAATCACCTATGGTAGAATGGGTGGTGGTGGAAGTGTTTACTTTGCTAGCCCAACATTAAGGCGACTAACTCGATAGGTGCATTCCCCCACATAAGTCAAACTAATTACCTATGGTTGAATGGGTGGTGGTGGTGGAAGTGTCTACTTCGCTAGCCCAACATCAAGGCGACTAACTCGATAGGCACATTTCCCCACATAAGTCAAACTAATCACCTATGGTCAAATGGGTAGTGGTGAAAGTGTCTACTTCAGTAGCCCAACATCAAGGTGACTAGCTCGATAAACGCATTCCCCCATATGAGTCAAACTAATCACCTATGGTCGCATAGGTGGTGATGAAAGTGTCTACTTCACTACCCTAATATCCAAGTGGCTAATTTGATACGCACATCCCCTACATAAGTCAAAATAATCAATTATGGTGAAAGGATAGTAAGATATATTACTCAATTATTCTTACAAACTCTTTATTCTTATGGACAATAATAAAATGTAATTTGTAAAGAAGATTTAAAAATTAAAAAAAAAATCGTTCGGTGCAAAGTTGATGACACAGTGGAAAAAGTAAAGAAAAGGTATTCAAGACATGTGAAATTGATGGTGACATCACACCAAGGTGACATCATACAAAAAAAATAAAATAAAAATGTTGTGTTGTTGAAGGCTCGCATCAATGACTTATGGGCATGATGAATATTATATAAACAAATATATAAAAGTCTTACTTTCTTGTCAAGCAGAAGGCAACAGGTCCTAGTCTCCAGCATATCAACATGGCTGGATGGAACAGCAACATAGACTCCAAGCGTAAAGCAACCAACCCCTCATCAATCATTTATAGAGAAAAGCAATGCATATTGGGCGGCGGAAGGAAAAGGCTAAAACCCTAGTTGTGCTTTTTAAACATTACCTTCTATACGAGGGAGACGTTTAATCAGGCTGTGTGTTTTTTTTTTTTTTTAAAAAAAATGGCGATCTTTTGCAATTAAATCCTTACATCGTGAGCATGACGAAGCTACTTCAAATCTCACCTTTAATGCTAGCAAGCAATCATTAAATTAAAATCTTGAAGTGGGTGTAATTTGTAGACATTTAAATTTTTACGTGTCTTGATCACCGTCTGATTAATCAAGGCAAATAAATTTTCTTGATTGGTCAAAATTAAGATGGTTTTCAAATGGGTACGGGTCCTACTAAAATTATGGATCTTAACCCATTTTAAATTATGGGTCACACCAAAAGAAAAGTGAACTAATTTTAACAATGGGTCAACCCAAATGTGTGGGCCCATGAAAATATTTTATCAAAATTTAGTGGAATAATTCAAATTTAAATTTAAATTTGAATGCAAATCATGTTCATAAATTAAGAAATAAATTGTCATTTCCTTAGAAATTCAAATCAATTTTGAAGTTTCCAAAATCGATCCTTCTCTCCTAAGCCTATAAATAGAGGCTCTTACCAAGAGAAAGAGGAGACAATTTTTTTGGGCTAAAAGTCTTGCAAGCTCTTAAGCAATCTCGAGACTCTGCCAAATATTTTTCTTAAAATTCTCTCTAAAGTTCTTCAAACCCAAAAGAAAGGATTATCAAGCACTTCAAACTTGTGCCAATCCTTTCAAGTTGTAAATACAAATTTGGTCTCTCTTTCAAGGAGATCATCTCAAGACTTGTTTAAGATCAAGCTGTTCAAGCCCTTGATCAAGCCTTTCTTCTCAAAATTTCTCCATTCGAAGACTTGAAGAAATCCATCAACTTATTCGATTCAACAAGCTTCTACAGCCGTTGAATTACACCCATTTCAGAGATCGAATCAGAGAATTTGTTCTTTTGTAATAGAGCAAACCACAAAGGATTGTACCTCATTTATTATAATCAATAAAATTAATTATTTGTGTATTTATTTCATGTCTTAATTACAGCTACGAAATTTGTGTTTGCAGATATATTATAATATTTTTATATGCTAATACTTAAGTATTTTATTACAAGAAAAAGTATTTAAGGTGGGTTGACTCAAATGTATGATTTATACTTATATCAATAAGATCGTAAGAATTACTCACATTTAGTTATAAAAAAATTAAAAATTTAAATCATAAACAGTGTTCTCAAAGAGAATCAAATACAAAATCTCTATAACCTTAATAATTTTAGTTCTCAAAAGGAATCTGATTAATTATGTGTCACATCAAAATTTTATTCCAACCAAATTATTTTTACATAAATTTTTTTTCATGTTTTTTTTGTTTTTGTGAATATTTTTAAAATTTTAAGAATTTTTTACTTTTTAAATGTACCTTACTTGGATGTATTTAAAAAGTAAAATATTTATATAAAAAAATATTTTTAAAAATCAATAAATATACAAGAATACGAAAAATGTATTGAATTCTCGTATTTTCTTTTATATTTTTGGTATTTAGTGAATTTTCCAAACATTTTTTTTTCAAAAATATTATACTTTTTTAGTGTATTTAAGTTAGGTGTATCTAAAAATTAAAAAACATTGCTTAGAATATTAAAAAAATTAAGTGAAAACAAAAATTTCAATTTTTGAAAAATGAATCCTTAAAATCCAAACCAATCAAGCTGATAAATTCAAAAAAAAAAATTATTTAAAAATTATTCAAAAAACATCAATAGGTGGCTTAAATATACACAATCATTTTTATGGATTATTATTTTTTAAAATAATACTCTATACTATTTATCATTTGACATTTGTTAATTTGTCTTCTTCAAACTTTTTAAAAAAAATATTAAGTTCCGTTATTTTAATTTTTAATCAATCCACTATTTTAATTTTAAATCAATCAATATCAAATTAGACGCTACATGTGTATGTAAACCACTTCTATTGATGTCTAATATAAAAACACAATGGAGTTAACTTTAATTAACGTAATGATATTTTATATTATGATATGGGTTATAAAAGAATAATTTAAATTTAAATTATTTATTTTGATAATCTTAATCTTATTGTTCTATATAAAAGTGTTAGTTGAATACTTATGTATAATAAATTTAATTAAATTATTTTTTTATTTTGATAATTTTAGTTGTATTGTATAAAAGTGTAATTATCATATAATAATTTTATATGATATATATTAAATTATAATATAGTAAAATAAACATTCATTTTAATATTAAAATTAGAAAGAGAATTTGTAATATAAAATTAAATGGGAATTTTTTTAAAGTCCCTAATATTAAGATTTTATAAGATAACGGACATATAATATTTTCATAGCAATTGGGGTCCCTCAACATTTTCACAGAAAAAATTTGACGTAGAGAAATTTTGCATCAACACAGAGAAGTTTTAATTTTCATAGAGAATTTCAATTTTTACAAAGAAATGTTTGATTTTATAGAAAAATTTTAAATTTTTTATGGTATGATCACAGAAAAATTTCATCGAGGGACCTTAATTAATAAAAAAAAAATATTAGATATCTCCTACTATCCAAAATTAGAAAGGGATATTTCACTAATTTTTCCAAACTAAAAGTGATTCTAATTATTTAATTTTTATTTTTATATTTATTTACAAAATAAAAATATGTATAAAGCTACACAAAATTTATTTAAAAGATTTAATATAAATATGTTGTGATGGAATTAAAAAGAAAATACATAAATTAATTACGTAGAGTATTGATTCTTATCTTTAATATTCTTTTTAAATTATTCACATATATTGTATATAAGTATATAAAATTTAAATTCAATATATATAATTTCATGTTAAATAAAAAATTAAATATAAATTAATATTAAGATATCAATAAGATAGAAAAAAAATAAAAAATACAAGAGAAAATTAATTTGATTTGTGCGATATATATAATTAAGCACATTCTGTCTTATTTATTTATATATCGAGATAATTTTTTTTTCAAATATAATAATAATTAATGTAACACCCCAACTTCCGGGCCGTTAAATATGTACAATAATACAATACAAGTAGGATAGATGACCAGAACATCTTAATATACATATATAACCAGAGTTAATATCACAGATAATTCGTTTATATTCCATTACAGAATTGCCAAAACATTGCCAAACCAAAAGTCAAAAGGAAAAAAAACAACTAGTCTAAGTCTTCAACTGAACCACAGCTCCAACAGTTCATCTCGTTTGCCTTTGAAATAACCGTCACCATTGTAAACTGCTTCATCACCTGGCATGACACGCCATGAGCTTGGAATGCCCAGTAAAAACACACACACCCCCATATCTTCTATCAGCCAATCAACCATACACAGAACAAATCGGAATACATAACGTACTTACAATAAGGTTTTACGAATTAGTAGTTAGACTAGGCATCTAGAATCCCCCAAAGAGATCCTCCTACCCAACCACACGGATTGAACACCGGACTCTGCAGAACTCCCCCTTTTGCTGCTTTGCAGACCTTACCACCTATGCCCACCTTAATATACATATATAACCAGAGTTAATATCATAGATAATTTGTTTATGTTCCATTACAGGATTACCAAAACGTTGCCAAACCAAAAGTCAAAAGGAAAAAAAACAACTAGTCTAAGTCTTCCAATGAACCACAGCTCCAACACTTTATCTTATTTGCCTTCAAAATAACCTTCACCATTGTAAACTGCATCATCACCTGGCATGACACGCCATGAGCTTGGAATGCCCAGTAAAAACACACACACCCCCATATCTTCTATCAGCCAATCAACCATACACAGAACAAATCGGAATACATAACGTACTTACAATAAGGTTTTACGAATTAGTAGTTAGACTAGGCATCTAGAATCCCCCAAAGAGATCATCCTACCCAACCACACAGATTGAACACCGGACTATTCAGAACTCCTCCTTTTGCTGCTTTGCAGACCTTACCACCTATGCCCACCTCCTGGTTATTTACCGATCAGTGACATTGATGGACCTCAAAAGGGACGGCCAAACAAGTGGGCTTGCTTACACCCAAATCGTGCCTAGGGCTCGCTTACACCCTGCACATACCATACCAAATCATGTCTAGGGCTCGCTTACACCCTGCACATAACATACCATACCAAAGGGCTCGCTTACACCCCAAAACCACCGCATAGAGTTTGAATACATCCATGTCAACCTAGGGGCTCGCTTAGATCGCTTGCACAAGACTTAACTCATTTGGTTTTAATTCCATTCACATGTTTATTACATAAATCATTCTGAAGCACAAGGGTGAACGTTACCCATTACCAACCCCTTTCCATTTCCCATTTATTAGATCTTTTGCCAAGCAAGCTAGTCACATTCAGTAATTCGGTAATACAAAAGAGTAGGAGACAAACATAAGAAATGAAATGTAGCCCATGATAATCATACATAGGTATGGTAAGGCAAGAAAATAACATTAGGCATGCTTTAAAATACTTAGAGACAAACAACACAGCAAAACACCATTTCCAGCACTGTTCGGTTCTGCATGGCTAACAAGAGTGCTTTGGGAAAAATACTTCTAGGTCAAGTTAGGGGCTGAAATTGCACAGAAATAATAATTAACCTGTCTAGTTTCAATTCCAATTCACAGAATGTGCATAGCACCTCCAGAAATTCATCTACAAGCTATATTCAAAAACCTGTCCAGATTTGTCACCCTTTGGGAAAACTAGCTTTTTTCTCAATCTACCCGACGGTTTTTACTCAAATAAAATCTGTTGGAAACAGGACTCAAATTCCTAAATTTTGACAGTAGAACCAACATGAGATGATTTTTCTAGAATTTTATAAAATTTCTAAAAGTGGACTGTTTTTCAGAGACTCTGGACCAGATTTTTCAACAAATTACCCAAGCCCTAAAAACACACAATTAGGAGCTAATAAAATTGTGATAAGCTCTAAACACAAAATATCGTACAATAAATTCAGATTTGAGAATTAGATAGATTTGATATTTTTTTTTTAAAATTAGAGAAGTTGCAACAGTGCCTAATTTCACAAATTTGCAAGACAATGACACTATATCATACCCATATTTTCACACACACCAAAAACCCTATTGACCATTAATTTGTAACAAAAGATACATACTAGACAATAGAATGAGATGATGAAAGGATTGGAGAAATTAAGGGAGAGGTATGTTCTTACCTTAAAAAATTCCTTCTTTTTCTCTTCTTTTTTTTTTCTTCTTCTTCTTACTTCTCTACTTCCCTTGAGCCAACTCTCCCTCTCTCACCCTCTCCTTGGGCTTTTTAAAAACATGGATTAACATCATTTTACATTTATTATTAACAACGTTAGTATTACTGTTTAGTTTAAAACGTAAGAGAGGTTTTAGCTATTTTCAAATGTAAGGGAGGTTAAATACTCCAAGACAATACTACAATAAGGTAAAATAGATTTTACCCTGTTAATTATTAAAATTATAATTTTTAACATGAAATTGTAATCATTTTTTAAAAGTATCACCTTTTCCACCAACATATTATATATATATATATATATATATATTTAAACTATGTATATATTCAAATACACAATAGTTTTCTATTCAAATAAATAATAAATAAAAGAACAACAAAATCAAAAATAAAAATAAATATAAAATGTATGAATTAATTTATAAACTAAGAGGTAAATAAATAAAAACCAAGTTTTAGGGTATTTCCAATTATAAAGGGGTGTTCTCGGTTTAGTTTTGATAATATAAAGGAAAATTATTCTTTATTGGGCTATTTTGCAGACTTTTACGAAACTAGGTGCTAAAATGCTATTAAACTAAGGCTCAGGGTTTCATGTGTAATTACCAAAAATTAGGGTCTCTACAATTAAATCAAAATATAAACTATATAAAAAGAAATCTGATAACGACAAAACTAAATAAACTATATAAAAAAATAAGTATTTCACAAATAGAGTCTATATAAATTGGTTATTATAATTGAAATTGAATTTGTGTAGAACTTTATATGTAAATAGAAAAAATATACTGATGTGGTTTTTTTAGAGAGAGAGAGAGACAAAAAAGAAAAAAGAAAAAAAAGTAGACATTTAGAATGTGCTACATAAGAAAGGGAAAAACATTACTTTTATGCATATATGATTAGTTTCAAAAAAGTATTTCTTAAAAAACAAAAAATGATTTTAGAAAACTTTTGAAAATAGTTCTTACAAATATTTTTTGTATCAATTTTATTTTTTATTCTTTTTTGGAACAAAAATAAAAAAAAATAAAAAATGATACCAAGCACACTAGTGAATATATTGTTCTTTCCTTTTGTGTTTTTTAGATACCAATAAAAATTAGGATAAGGATTAAACGATGCTGTTGGGCTCATGAGGCCCACCACGAGTCTCATTTTGATTATTCAAATCGTTCAATGTGTAGAGCTTGTCGAGTATTTTATTCTGGCAAAAAAATTACATTGATCGGATATCGATAGCGCTTTCATTAGATCATGTTTTTGTCAATGATAAATGGGATTTTTTTTAAAAAAATTATTGACAAAAATGTGTTATGATCAAATGTCTATCAATATCCGATCAGTGTGATTTTTTGCAAGAATAAAATGCTCGATGAACTCTACATATTCAACGGTTCAGATTATTGAAATGAGATCAATTATAGGCCCTACGAGCTCAACAATATTGTCCAATCCTCTCTGCACTGAAAATTATTAGGTGTGGATAAACATGGACACTTCTATGGATTGGGCGTGCCATGTTGGTGTTACAGCCACTCCAATTCCCGTAAATTAAGTGTGTCCGATTAAAATATTAAATTCATGACATTTGACATTTTTGCGACACTTCTCTTAAATTTTCCGAACAGGATTTATGTGATGAATCTCTTTACAATAACAATATTTTGCTTTCTTCAAAAACTAACTTGTGCATTATAAATATGTTTTACAACATTTATAAGATCATGTGTCTGTGAGTTTGATGTAAATTTTGTTTCTCCAAATCATATTTGTCAGAAGATTAGTGATTTTTCTAAAATCCTAATTTTTTCTTTTTTGGCGATTTTTTATAGTTTGCGTAGGTTTTCTTTGTTTGAGCCTTTGCAAGTCGTTATATTTTCTTTTCATTTGCTTGTATGTTCCCTAAAGGCCATTGTTAGTGCGTAAAAATTGTATTAAAATGTGAAAGTAATTTAGGATACATAAAAGTATATTGAGATTATAAATCTTTTGACATATATAGTATTTCTAACAACCCATCATTAGCAAGACACTTGATTTTATTGTATAAACTGCATTTTTCACTCTTTAAAAAGATTCAATTATTTTACATTATTTGTATTGCAATTGTTACATGATATTTAAATTATGGAATATATGATAATATTACTTTTAATTTCAATTAGTGTTACATTATTTTTTCCCCTCATCATTGAGATATACTTGACACATTATAAATTTATAAATATATATATATATATATATTTTGATGATAATATACATATTTTTAAAAATCACATATATTCGTGTCGTGTTAATTATCTATGTTTGTATTACTTAATAATAAGATAGCACATGACAATATCATGTGCTACAAAATAACAATATAAATATGATCCAATTAAAATAAAGAAAGACACCGCGTGACAAGTGATTTTGAACTCAAATACTTTTTTTTTTTCTTTCCTAATTGAGATTCTTTTCTTGTTGGTTGTAAAGATATCCTCTTCACTAAGCAAGAATAATCACTTGAAAGTAGGATAGAATTGTCAAAATGTTAGATTCAATAATTGAACCCCCTAACATTTCTTGGTTAGTAACTATATGAACAGGCCAGCCTGGTCATAGGCCCACATATGGCTTAGTATCTCTCAAAATAGACCCAAAAAAGGAGTCTCTTCCTATTATAATTTGGTGCAATATATTAGGTATGTTTTAAGTTTAAAAAAAAATTAAAGAATGCCTAAAATAAATTAAAATAAATTGACCTTTAAAAATTAAAAGGGCCCATTCTCTCTCCTTAATTCCTAACCCTAACTCTTAATTCAATTTTTTCCAAAAATTTGAGAAAAGCGACACAGCAGAGCACTAATGAATTTCTCAAGAATTCAAAGCAGTAGCACAACACAAGTAGTTTTTTTTTTCTATTCAATTAATTAAATATTTATCTTGTCTTTTGCTCAATTGTTATTATAATATTGATATTTAAACAAATCTGTATCATCAAGAAGAATTAATTTTTTGCTACTTGTGCTAAATTTTTTATTTAATGAAAAAAAATATGTAAAGGGCCCCAAATGATTTAGTGATATTTATTAATTGATTATCGACTTTGAACTCCAAAAATCTCAAGGCTGAGCCTGTATATGAAAGGGAAAGAACAACAATGGTGATAAAAAATTTATCATCCTAGCTTTTTTTGGTCTTATTACATTTGATTGTTTCAAATTCAAATATTAATTTTGTAATTGCACAATATTGGCAAAAGCTGAGATTACTAAATCAACAATAATTCATAACTTAGTTGAACTACCTAGGTGCTTTGGTTACATTCAAATAAAGCTTATGCAATAAAGACATAATCTTTGTATAGGAATCAAAGTTCAACTTTCTTTTTGTTTCCTAGAAAATCATGCAGAAGATTCTCGCTGTTTTTTTTGGGGTAAGTAAAAGATTCTCGCTGTTATTCAATTATTAAGCCTAAAAATTCTCATACATTTTGGTCACATGAAGAACAGTTCAAAGAAAAACAAAATCTTTTTTTGACTTTGCCTTCTTCTTGCATGCTCATCAATACTTATCTTATACAAATATACAAATCCTAATTGAATTACTCATAGCTTGTTATTTTAACGAGCTTCATTTCGAATACCAAGATTTGATTAATGTTTGTAACGTCTACGAGTAAGAGACTAATTTGTCAGATTTGTGTATGTGTGTAACATTTTTCATATTCACAATGTTGTTTGTGTTTTGTATATATATATGATAAAAATAGCTCATTTCACTTATGTCTTACTTGGAAAGAGACTTTTTAGCCAAAAAAAAAAACTTTAAAGTCAATAAAAAAGTTTAAAAGTCAAAATCAACATGTTTGACATGTATCTTAAAAAAGAGAACTGCTATTAATACCTATCTTTATTCTTTGGACCCTCAATTCTTTGAACTTCCATCATAAGCCTAAAATTTTAATAATATTTCTTTTATCACCCCACTTAATACTAAATTGACCCCTATTCATAATATCATCACCAAAGTTATGCATACCAACCTCATGTGCACACCCCCATTAATGAATGACGAACGATGATCCCTCTCCTCTAACAAACTGAAGAACGACGGTCTCTCTTTCTCTTTGATTTATTCGAAACCCTAAACCCATTAATAGTGATCACACCATTGCATTTCATCTGAAACTGAACGAAGTTTTTTCAATTTTATACCATTGCATCTTTTCTTCAAACTCGTATGGAACTGAAGAGCTGAGTCGTCGAAAATTTATCCTCCAACATATTAGGGGAAAACCCTCAATTGAATGACAACTGGGGAAAAAACCTTACAAATGGGAACTGTTTATGTAACAACCCCGACTCATGATTAACATTAATCCATGATTAATTATGCCTAACAGTAATTAAGGAGGAATTCTGAATTAATTTGCAGGTGTGTGTTGCATTATCTGTGTTTATATCTGTTTTGCGTAGGAAGATCTGTTCATGTCTTAGTTCGATTTGCGAATTGAAGGCCTTATCGGCATTTGATACAGAAATTGATCTGAATTATATGTTAATTAGAATTTTTAGAATTTTATGGTAGGTTCAATCGAAGTTCGATTTGGAACAATTAAATTAGGTTAAATTAATGTGCACCAATCAGCCTCAATTAATCACACTTGCATCCAAGCCTATTTAACGCACCAATTGAGCCCACTCTCTTCTTTTTCTTTCATTCCATCACATTTTGAGCTCATCCAAGAAAGACAAACGAGAGAGGGAGAGAGTGGGAGAGAAGAGTTGAACTCAACAAGAAAATTTCTTGAAAGTTAGAGGAAATTGAAGAGAATTTGGAAGATTAAGCTACCATACTTGAGAATTCAAGACTTGAGGTAGGCATTCACCCTCTTAACTATGAAATCGAATTACTAGTGCAAGAATTCTAGTGAATTAGATGAATTCATGTAAGGTTTGAGCTAGGTTTGGAGGGAACTAAATCAATCCATACAT